CGCAATCGTCTACGCGCAGCAGTCCAAGTTCGCGAGCATCTCATCGGGTTTCAGCCTCAGACCCGTGTTCGAACTTTCAAGTTTTCAAAGCCGTTCGTACGACCCGCTGTCAGACCCGTTTCCCGTCTGATAACTCGTAGTTTTCCGAAGTCGGGTAACTTATTCGAAACCTCTCGTTATTACGATCGATTTCATATATCATACGTTATATTTATGATGTGTTCGGTTTACCAAAACTTTATTTGAAATCGGAACCTTGTTTGTTGTTATTTGTTGATTCGTATGTTCGTACGTATGATTCGTATATTCGTGAATTTTTGTGGATTATCGGAACTCTCGTTTGTCGTATTAATTGAGTCTCGATGCTGCTGTGATGATTTCGTGTAATTTCGGTGTCTCGTTTTGTCGTTTTGAGCCGTCGTCTTGTTGATTGGATCGTTCGTACCCCCGTTGTTTGTTTTGTATTATTTTTGTCGTTGTGTTGTCAAAACCCTTTTAAGCCCAGTTTCAAAATATATTTGCAAAACTCTGAAAACGTGTACGTCTTGATCCGGTTGCCGTTAGATATCTCGTCGTCGTTTTCGGTCAAATAATTGCCGGCTTGTTAGCAGATAGCAGTTCTGTTCATTCTTTCCAGCCTCTGTTCGTTTTTATTCTGTCCAAATAGCAGGTCTTGTTAGAGATTCATTTGTTAATATTTGCTGAATAAGTATCGAAAGATTGAGTGGTGCAGTGGTAAGTATTATGCTTGTTTGTGCGCGCGGTCAGGAGTTCGAACCCCAGCCCTAGCGTTTGAACCATTTTTTTTTATTGTAAGCAGCCCAAACGCGCGCGGGCCTCCAGGCCCGATTCCAGCCTGCGCGCGGCCCGATTTCTAGTCTCCAGTTGCGGCCCGCGAAGCCCGTCCTCAGCCCGCGCTCTGTAGCTTGTTAGCAGATTAGATTGCGGCCCAATTCTTGTTCAATTTGGGCCCATTTCGGGGCAGAATTTCCAGCGCGGCCCAGATGTTTTTTTAGCAAATTTTTGTGTTCCGGAATCCGTTTTTCTTACCGATTTTAATTGTAAAAATTATTTTTAAATTCAGGAAATTTTAAAAAATTATTTTAGGTCCCGAGACTCCAAATTTTATCCTCCGAGCCTTATTTCTCAAAAATGAGAGAGTT